TATGCACTAATTTTTACTTTTTCCCAAGACCAGACCACCTCATTTGAGAAGTGTGAATCCTGTGATTAGAATGCCAGGTTTTACTAAGCCCAGCAGAGTTCTAGTCACTGAAAACAGTACAGTGACCTGCACCAATCAGAACGATGACATGGCCAGGTAGGGGCCCCACTTGACTCTTTTACTGCCCGTGAGTTGAAATGTTCTTTACACCCGGCATGTCTCCAGTATACATTAAATGTAGCCCTTCCCAGAGTGGTTAAGCAGCAATCTCTAATTTTTTCCTTTCAGCTTCCTCATCCTTCTCTTCCATTCTTTGTCAGCTGAGTGTTTTATCCCGTAGAACACTAGCGGAGGAAGAAAGTCACCTTCACGGGTGTGCAACCTGTACACTCAGAAGGCTCTGCTGTTGCCATGTTAAAAATCTTAGTAGTATGTCAACAAGAGGTCCTGTGTTTTCGTTTTGCACTGAGCCCCATCTGGGAAGGAAGACGATAAGAGGAACTGCAAAGGGCCTGAGGCCTGCAGAGTCTGTCTCCGTCATTTTGAGTTTCATTGTGGAGTAGCTAGTCACTAGCCTCCACTATTTCCAAAAATATGTCAGCAAACATTTACGTAAGAAGCAGCCCTGACAAATGAATCACAATCTTGAGCGATTAGGACTCAAGAATTTGTATTTGCATAGACTTCCCATGTTTCTCAGTTCACTAAAGGCTAAGAACATTTTTCATTCCTATTTATTTATTTTTTATTTATTTACTTATTTATTTATTTGAGACAAGGACTCACTCAGTCATCCCCCAGGCTGGAGTGAAGTGGCACAATCATAGCTCACTGCAGCCTTGAACTCCTGGACTCAAGTGATCCTCCTGCCTCAGCTCCCAAGTACCTGGGACTGTACACATGCCACTCTATCTGGATAATTTTTTATGTTTTTATTTTTTGTAGAGATGGGCTCTCACTTGTTGCCCAGGTTGGTCTCAAACTCCTGGCCTCACATGATCCTCCCATCTTGGCCTCCCAAAGTGCTGAGATTACAGGCGTGAAACTGAGAACCTTTAACTAGTGAATGGCCCCTCTGATTCAACACACATCTCTCTGTTACTCCATATTTACTGGTTCAAGAACAAAGGAAAGAAAATAAATTCTGTTACCTCCGATGCACTTTATGCTACATTGTCAGGGGCCAAAAGTACTGGTTTGTACTAAAAGAAAGAATTCCCTCTATTTGATTTGGCAGAGGACAGCAATGTCTTTATTTAGGGCTAGGCTACTTTAAACTTTAAACCATTCTTTTAGGAGTTTTTATTTTCATTCATTTCTGCTACCACTGTTATAAAAGGGAATGCAATTTTGAGTGATCAAGCAGCTGTTTCAACCAATCACTGCCACTGTCAGGGACTTTGCAAAGATCAATTACAATGATAGGATCATTGTATTACAGTAGCTGATCTAGCCATCAGTCATTGTTTGAAATAGAGTTTTGGCAGATACTGGAGTTTAGTGGGTAAGAGACTACATTTTGGAGGCAGACAGGCTCCAGTTGGATCCAGATCCATCACTTAAATGTGGGAGGTAAGGAAATTATTTTCTCCCCCAAATCCTAAGGTATATTTAAATTCATTGATAAGGATATTAACAGACTCTATAGGGTTGTGATGAGGATGAAGGAAGATAGCCCAAGTGAATCCTCGTGTACAGTGCCTGGCACATAGTACGACTCAATATTATTATTTTTTTAACCATCAAGAAAAACTTAAAAATTAAGTTCCATGAAAACTTAAGAAATGAAGCCAAACTGAAATCATGTAACCAAATATATTTCAGGTGTACTAGACAGTCCTTGTATATTTTTCCAGATTGTATACATGATAAACTCATTAATTCAACCTTATAAGAGAGAGATCACTTCAAATTAGCAGGTAAGCAAGCATGGAGGTGCAAGTGGAAGAAGACAGAAATACAACGTCCAATGTATTTGGTACTTTTGTTTTGACAAGTGTGATGATTAATTTTATGTGCTAACTTGGCTTGGCTGTGGTGCCCAGTTGTTTGGTTAAATAACAGTCTAGACATTAGCACAAAGGTATTTTTTTAGATGTGATTGATATTTAAATCAGTAAACTGAGTAAAGCAGATTACCCTCTCTAATATGGGTGGTCCTTATTCAATCAGTTGAAGGCCTTAAGAGAATAGAATGAGGCTCACTGAGAAGAAAGGAATTCTGCCTTAGCCTCAATTCTGCCAGCCTGTCCTGCAGAGTTTGGATTTACAAGCCCCTATAATCACAGAACCAATTCCTTAGCATTTCTCTCCCTCTCTCCCTCCAGATAGATAGATAGATAGATATGATATATATCTCATGTATATCTCTCTATATATCCCATATATCTCTCTTAATTTGGGCTGCTATGGCAAAAATATATACTGGGTGGCTTAAACAACAAACATTTATATCTAATAATAATAAAGTTCTAGAGGCTGGAAAGTCCAAGGTCAAGGTGCTGGCAGGTTCAGTGTCTGGTGAGGGCCTGCTTGCTGATTCATAGACAGCCGTATTCTCACTGCTGCTTCCTCACATGGTAGAAGGGAACAAGAGAGTTCTCTGGAGTTTCTTTTATAAGAGCACTAATCCCATTCATGAGGGCTTCACCCTCATGGCCTAAATTATCTCCCAAAGGCCCCACCTTATAATGTCATCACATTAGGGATTGGGGTTTCAACATATGATTTTAGGGAATAGGGGCACAAATATTCAGTCCATAACACACACACTCTCTCTCTCTCTCTCTCTCTCTCTCTCTTTCTATATATATATTTTTTTCATCCATTGGTCCTGTTTCTCTACCAATTGAGTGTGAATGAGTTTATTGGATGTTTTCATCCAATACAAGGGAGGTCTAGAAGTATAGAAGGGGGGCAGAGGGTGTATGCGTGTGTGTGTGTGTGTGTGTGTGTGTGTGTGTGTGAAAGAGAGAGAGGTGGAGACAGAGACAAAGACACACACAAAAGTGGGGGAGAGAGGGAGAAAGTGACTTGTATTTATAGGAAAGGAAATAAATGGACAGAGACAAAGATGTTGGAACTTTCTGGACAACCTTAGACTGATTACTTGACACCTTAGAATCTCAGTGTCTTCTAGAAAAGATGAAAATAAAAATGCTTCTTTCATATTTCACAGGATTTTTTTAGGTGTGAGGATTAAATAAAACAACAGACATAAAACACTTGGCCCATAGTAGATATTTCATAAACCTTCATTTTATAGCCATATTGGTTTCTGGCTTCATTGTTTTGCCTGAGAGTTGTCCTAAAAAGCAGCAAGAGAAAGAAAGGATAAGGGTTGGCTAGATAGAGCTGGGATGTGGGAAAGTTCAGTTAGTTTTCTTGCCCATCAAGTCCTGTGTTGTGCAAAAACCTCTAGGTGACCAACATCATGTTCACATTAGAACAAGCTAATTTATATTTACATACAATGTTCCATCAGGGAATCAAAATCCAGTTGGTTTCTCAGAGAACATGCTTATTTGCCACCATTATTCTTTAAACATTTGCTGAGAGCTAGCTGGTAAATGGTCCTTTAGGATATGCTTTTTAAAAAACAATCCCCTATTGCTTTTCATGTACTGTTTTCAAAAGCCTCCGTTAATAACTACACTTCGATCAGATCTCTTAGTACAAATGAACCTCCCATCAAAACTCTAAGGGCAACCCATGATATTATCTTTGCCAATTGAAATTCTCAAGGTGAAATACATATGTGCTGTAATTGGCACCTTTGAAACATCATTTTCCCATGGAAAGCTTTCAGAGTCGCTGCCAGCAAATGCAGCCTGGCAGGTCCCAAAAGGTGAGGTCTGAGTGTGAATGCTTCATTACCAGCAGGGCTTTACCCAGGTGATGGAGTTTCAGCTATCTGTCAATCACGCCCATCTCTGGTCTCGCAGGAGTCCACAGGCATCAGCCTGTGCAGATAAATAATTACCCTGGCTGAGCCATTTCATGGAAAGGCGAAATTCTTTATCAATATTGCTTGCCCAGCAGCGGTTGTGAAATCCGCAGCTGCTTCAGCACAGCCCGGAGAGCGGAACAGCGCGTGTGACGTAAGCACACGACAGTGAAAGGAGAGTCCGGATTCTGCACAAAGTCCTGTTGATCTGCCACATCGTTAATTGCCATGATGGGAAAGTGGCTTCATCTAATACCATAGCAAAACCCCAATACCTCCAAGCCCTTCTTGAAATTAACTGCATTCCAAGATACTTATTTTTGTAAGCCAAATGCTCAGTGGGATATTTGTGTTTCACTAATTCTGTGATGATAAAAAAGTAAAAATTAATTACTTATATTGTATTAGTCTGGTTCTCTAGAGAAACAGGACCAATGGGTGAAAAAAAAAAAAAATATATATATATAGAGAGAGAGAGAGTGTGTGTGTTATGGACTGAATATTTGTGCCCCTATTCCCTAAAATCATATGTTGAAACCCCAGTCCCTAATGTGATGACATTATAAGGTGGGGCCTTTGGGTGAAGCTCTGCAGCAAGAATTGCTTTGTAAATGGATTTTCAAAATCTGTAAAGAATGTGGCTTTGGGCTGGAAGCTTTCTCAGATCCCCTCAGATAGTCCCATTTAGGAACCCTGTGCCTTCCTGGCTCCTGGATGCTTTTCACATCCCAGCTTCTCATCCAGCGGCCACCTGCTGTCTCCTGGGCAGCTCCTCATCGCTGTTCAGCCTTAACGTCCTGTACACTTTCCATCATCCCACCAATTTAACAGGCACTTGTGTGAAGGTGATTCTAGGATCGACATCAAAATGTTGGTCAGATTCTTGGCATAATCCTACTAGAGTCCTAAAAAATAAAAAATAAAAAAAAAATCTGGATTCAAAATAACACTTAACTTGGCATTGTTGACAGCCTTTTCTTTTGGAAAGAATGTTAATCTGCAGGCCTGAGTATGCTAGACTCCGGGCTGGATTTATTCTCCCTTTTTGTTTCAGATAACCTGAGAAGCACATCCACCTGCTATTGCAAATAGGGTGATAAGCACCCTCTTCCATGGGGGTGACCTAATCCTACCATCTCAACCCAGCAGTGGCCCTAACAGGCGACAGAACCCACTGGTTATTTTCAGAAATGATAGCTCCGTGGCAATTATGGAAAAACCAAGATCTTTGATTTTGGCAGGAACTCTTAACATTCAGAGAAAGAGTGATACTCAGCAGCACAACAGGGTGAGACATTTCATCATCCAGGGGTAACTTGAGCAACTAAGTCACTCCAACGGGTTCACTTAGATGCTTCCCCACTCAAAATGAGGCTGTCTCCAAGCCCCACGACAAGATGCCCTGTGGCAGAAGTAGAGAAGTGGAACATCAGCATCAGACCCTCACACTCTTCGGTGGCCTTGTCACATCCTCCCTGGGGAAATGATCCAACATCCCAGAGCATCAAAAGTCCAATATCTCTGTTTACCTGTCACCTTACAGCGGCCTCCACACAGTGGAGGTGTCCCTCTTGCACTTGATTTTCATAACAAAGCACCTGCTTGACTCCTGCTTGTCAGAGACCTAAAGCACCTGAGCTCTTTCCCTGCAGCAGCACAGTAGCTGCTGGTGTGTTCTGCATCTCAATTCAGCAGCGTCTGCTCCCATCAAATCTGAGCAGAGAGCAATGGCCCAAGGGACCTGATAAAACAGCAGCTCTTCGCGAATTTCTCACTTTCATCAAGTCTGACCACCGGAAAGTTACATGTGTACTTGGGATGTGGGACTCCAGCAGTGTCCCCAACTAAGCTACCAATTTAACATGATGCCCTTCCTTGGCTTTGATCTGGGTGTGGACATGAGAAATGACTGCACGGAGAATCGGAGAATGCCACCCCCATCCACACCCGTGTAAATGCATGAAAACATCCTCTTAGACTCCGGTGCTAAACTAAGAAGATTCTTCTTCTGATGAGAGGGTGTGCATCTGCTTATAGGATAATGAGAGCTCTTATATCTCTTTTTGCCTGAGCTGCAAAAGCCCAAGGCTAAATCTTCTTCTCTGTTGTAACGGCTTTCTTTTACTTAAGCTTAAGATATAATTATTCCCCCTCTCCATCCCTCTCATTACCTGGCATTTTCCTAGACATAAAGTTAGACATCATCTTGTTTATTCTGACAGCCACACCTAAGAGTATCTATTTATTATCATTATTTTATGGATAAGGAAAATAAGGAAGAGGGAGACGAAATGATTTGCCACAACTGACTGAGTCCCACTGGGAACTTTGTTAGTTATAAACAATAAACAAAGGATTGTAAAAATCATGGTGTATAGTCATAGTATATGCTCTGGGTCTGAGTGTAATGTACTTAGCCAGGCATGCTGGTGCTCACCTGTCATCCCAGCTACTCAGGAGGCTCAGGCAGGAGGATCTCTTGAGCCCAGGAGTTTGAGGCTGCAGTGAGCTGTGATCACTCCTGTGAATGTTATAGCCTTACCAGGTTCATGGCCCACTGCTCAAGAGGAAGCCAAGGCACTGAGACAGCAGGGTTACAGCAGAGAAAGAGTTTAACATTGCAGGTGCCATGTGAGAAGATATGAGGAAGTTCTCAGATCTGTCTCCTTGAGAATTTGGTAGAAAGCATTTTTAAAGGTAATTTGGTGGGCAAAAGGCTAGGCAATTTGGTCTGTTGATTGACTGGCTTTGGGGTAGAACCACAGGGGTATAGAAATTGTCTTCTTTGCTGAGTCAGTTCTTGGATAGGGGTCACAAGAGCAGTTGCGTCAGTTCCTTGGTACGGGCCACTGGTTTGGGTGGGTCAGCAGTTCTACCAGAATGCAGGGCCTGGACGATATCTCATAAACTAGCCTTAGGTTTCAAGAGGGTGATGTTATCAATGGGCGCAATGGAGAAAGCTAAGAACCTTTATGACCATCAGCTGTGTGACTCCTGAGTATGAGCAATTATAGGAAAGCAAGTTAGGGAACAATGGCTGGTTTTATGTGTGTATATTTTTTGCCTACCATAGATCCCACCTTGCGGCCCTTTATTAATTTCATAAAGGGTAGCTTCATGAATACCCACTGAACTTCTGATTGGGCAACATAGCAAGACCCTGTCTCTAAAATTAAAAAAAAAAAAAACAAGTCCTTATGGTTGTTTGTTGTTATAAAACTCTGGCAAAGCCACTCATTGTGTTGACACGGCACTTGTTCAGCAAAACCAGCCCTTCTAATGTCAGGTAATTCGTTATTATAGACCTGCCGGTGTGAAGGCCAACAAAAATGCTTAAAACAAAAACTTACCATAGAATTTGAACCTCCACATTAAAAGATATAGATCTTGTGTATATATGTTTTGCCCTATTATTAAGAAGCAAAATTTAGAAGGCGAGTAATTATAATTTAAGTAATTTGCTTAATACAGTACCTAAAATTACTGTCAGATAAACATTTCTTGAGAAGATCAAAATATATGGTTATTTTACATTTTCCCATTTGGATCTCTTTCAATTTCTGCAGTTTATTAGCTTGGTTCAGTGTCTTTGAGCATTAGTCAACATTTAAAATGTAGGTTTTTATGATTCTGGGAGAAGCAATTGCTTCCAAGGGAGAAAACATTCTGTAAATTACATGTAAATGTTTTTACTTGGATGAGTTCTTTTGCATCTGTGCAGAGGATCATTTTAATTTACACAAGAATGAAGGTTTTCCGTGATTGAATGTACTATGCGTGCTTGTGTATCTAATTTCCACTTCATTTATACCAGAGTCTAGCAGACACAAGGGGCATTTTGTTATAATGTAAGTGCTACTTAAAAATAAAATAAAATTATAATAAAAAGCTAAGGATTAGTGTGCCATTTCTAATTTTATTTCAGAGCTGCCCCTCGGAGTGGGTTGGAGCAGATCTGAGTCATGTAATTTGGCATTATGATGTTCTAAAGATACAGGCCATAAAGACTTCATCTCAGGAACAAAACAGATGAGAAACTCAGAAATGTGATCGACTAAAAACATCAAACCATCTCCCTTATCCCTCACGGCAATACATTTCAGAGTATAGTGTATTCTTCCTAAGTAGGAAACTGTTCCATAAACCATTTCTATTTCTTTTTTCCTTAATCTTTGAGATTATGTAGACTTTTTTAAAATTGGGTATTTGAAAATCCAGAGGATTATAAAGGTATCAACTAGTTCAGTTTCTTCTCTTTGCACCATTAAAATCTTTCACAGAAATAACCAGCTTCTAGTCTGTTTATTGACAGTGAAGAGGATGTGACATTTTGACATTAATCAGTTGCTGGGGTGGAGACAAAGGTGCAGATTTTGATGTTCTAATTGTATTGTTCCATCACTGCAAATGTAATAATAAAGGCCACTGAAATGTGGAAATGGGTGGGAATATTTGCCTCTTCCCAATTCAGAACCACAAGACTTATTTTTTCTTATTAAATATGCATTATTAAATGCCCTAAATTAATGAAAGGTTATCGCTTCAGAGTTCAAATTCTTATAAACCAGCCAGTCCCAAGCTTTTAGTCCCCAAGCTGCTCCTTCCTCTTTATGGCTTGTGAGGCACAATTACATTTTTAGCATTTTAGTTCTACAGATTTTTTTTTTTTCTTCAGTCATTTCTTCCTCTTGGTCATCTTGGGAGATAAAGTGATGGATTTCTCCATACGACAGAGAGTACTGAAGCTTGGAAAGAATTGGGGCATCTTACCTAAGATTAGTGTTAGCAAAGAGAGCTAATAGCTTACCTCCTCTAGGGAGGGCCAGCACATTTCAGTGGGTGTGGTCCAAGGTGGGGTGGAGACCAGTGAGCATGTAATATGTTTCCTTTGCTTCCACCAATATGCCACCTTCTAACTGGCTTTGCAGGGAGACAGGTAGGAAGAAAAACGCAGCCCCATGGCTAGACTAAAATGGATTTCCCAGGTCACCTGCAGTTGCAATGTCTTTGGGAAGGGCTTGTGTTTTCAGGTTTTGAAACCTAGGTGCCCAAGCTCTGATATTTCAGCTAGTTACCTGCCTGCAAAAGCATAACACCTCTTGTAAAGAATATAATCCTTTGATCACAAATTAATTTTGAACAACTTTTATATTCTCTAAAGCGCAGGTACTTGTTGAAGTGCTTATGGCATGTTGCAATGAATCATTCACTTTAAAATAGAAGGGAAGGGTATCAAATAAATTAAAAAACTTTCAACCTCATTTATTTTCTTCGTAACGTAGGTGGTTTTTATTTGGCTCCTCTTAATTTAATTATTTTATATTAGATGTGCTAATTATACAAACACTAATTGTCTGAATTCATTTAATTCTATGACAGGTTTATCTGACAAATATTGAATTGAATGACAACACCTAAATATGACTACATGACTTAACTGTCTGTCAGAATATTTGCATCATTGGGGAGTTGTCATCTTGGAAAGAAATAGAAACAAACTATTTATTCACTATATCTTTATTTAATAACAGGATAGAAACAATTTCTTTGACAATGCTGCTTCTAATCTTTCTTTAAAACCAGAATTTAATCCCTAAGATTTAGAAAATTTGGAATAACCTTTTTAAAAAAAAGTTCTAAAAAACATGTTCTGTGCCAATTAACTTTATAAGTCTAATTATCAATGTATTACTTCCTTAAAGTTCAGGAGCAGCCAATATTACCATTGTCTCTCAGGTAGATTCTAAGGCAGCCATAATAGTGTTGTATAAACCCAGTAAATCTGAAACAAGTTCAGGTACACATGCAAAGTTTTAGGACTTTTGTTTAATAACAAATTTCATCACGTAAGTTTGACTCAACCTTTCTTTCTTTAAAAATAAAATATGGCTAAGTAAAGATGGCACTTGTAACAAAATACTTTGTTTGCTCTCTTACCCCAACTTCCTTCAAATAAAATGGTAAAATTTGTTAAGAATTAATCCTTCTGGCAAACAAGAAACTGCGCTATGAGGGAATGAAAAATTTTAAGGAATTTGAAAAGCAAATAGGATCAGATCCACAGAGAAAGGGGATTGTAAAAAAGCAAAGCAAAACATAACATGGCAAAACAAAACAAAACAAAACAAAAAACACCGCTCAGATCAAACATGGGAGAAGGCTACCACTGGGAATTTTCCAGGGACACTGCAAGCTCATGAACAATGAACACAAATAGCAGGAGAGAGTCTTGGGTTAATGATCGTGGTGATTACACAGCAACTGCACTTGGGGCTGCCCAGACCATGGGCCCTTTTTCATCTTTGGCTTTTGTTGCTTTGTGGGCAGCAAAAAAGCCTAGATGGTTTCATGGGAAAACTCTACTATATGTTTAAAGAACATATAATTCCTATATTATATAAATAATTCCAAACAAGAGAAAACATGAAAAAGTTTTCCAACTCATTCTTCAAGGCTAGCATAATAAAGTACCATGAAATAATGATAAAGCTATAATCCAAGGTTATTTCTGAACTTTGATGCAAAAATCTTAAATAAATTGCTTGCAAGTCAAATCCAACTGTGCATTAAAAAGGGCATTTCCCAGGAATATAATCATGGCTCATTATTGATTGCTTACTACATTATAATGTATTGAAAATTAGTATCACCATATTAACCGATTCTAAAAATTAGATCTATATGCTCAGCTCTATAGATGCCAAAATGCATTTGATGTAATTCAACACTAAATTCAGACTAAAGCGATGAAATGAAAAAGAGCCACACAAACCCAAAACAAAGCAAAATACCTCTTAACACATATTCAGAATAGAAAGGAAACTTGATAAAGGGCACCTATCAAAAACAAAAACCAAATTTTTGAAGAATTTACCATTAAAGTTACTAAGTAGAGAGGAATATCTATGTAACAACTAGACTCTTAGGTGACTTTTGCTTCTTGGTGGTCATACCTTTATGTAATTCCCTCCCCATGAATGTGGGTAGGATCTGTGACTTGCTTGTAGCCAAAAGAATATGGGAATATGGCCAAAGTGATGGGAGCTCACTCCCAGATTATGTTACGCTATGTAAGACTCCTTCTTCCTAGCAGACGCATTCTCTCTCTCACTCTCTGGCTGGCCTTGAAGAACCAAGATGCCACACTGCAAACTGCCTGTGGACCTGTGGATGGTGTTTAGGAGCTGAGGGAAGCTCTCAGCAGTATAGCTTCAAAGGAATAAATTCTGCCAACAACTTTAGTGAGCTTGGGTGTGGATTCTTCCCTAGTCGAGCCACCAGATGAAACTACCGACAAGCTGACATGTTGATTGCAGCTAGTGAAATCTGCATGCAGAGAACCCAGCCAAGCAGTGTCCACACTCTAGCCCACATAGACTGTGAGACAATTAATGTGTGCTGTCTCAAACTACTAATTTTTAAAAATGTTTTGCAGCAATAGATAACTGATACAGTCTATTATCACCATTACATTTTTGTTAATGTTTATGGGGTTATTTTTAAGGATGTGATATAGACCACATTTATGAACACACAATGAATTGCAAGTTTAAAAAGTGGGCAATTGAATAAATTCTAACTCTATCTGTCCTATCTATCTATCTACACACACACACACACACACACACAGAGACACACACACACAGCTGGGAAGGCACCACCATAATTAAGATAAAGAACCCAACCATCATTCCAGAAAGTTTCCTCAGGCCTCTTTGCAATCCCTTCCCTCTCCTGCTCCTCATTACCAGACAACCTCTGGTATACTGTCACCATAGATTAGTTTGCATCTTCAAGAATTCTAGAACATACTCTTTTTTGGTCTGGTTTCTTTCACTCAGTATAATCATTTTGAGATTCATCCATGTGAGAAATGGTACAACTGAGAGTATATATTAATAATTTATTTATTTTTTATCACTGAGTAGTATGTCATTATATAGGTAAACCACAATTTGTTTATCCTTCACCTATTGATGGCCATTTAGCTTGGCTCCAGTTGTGAGCTAAAACAAATAGAGCTCTGTGAACATCCATGCGCAAGTCTTTGTAATGGTGGGAGTCCTATATGATTGACATCTGGATATTCCTAAAACAGGGTTAAGTGAAAAAAGTCACAGAATAGCATATCTAAGAGCTCCCATGTAACATTCTGTAAGACTATATATTCTTTTTTTTTTTTTGAAATTAAAACTTTTGGGTTTTTTTGGGGGGGGAATGAAAAGGTTTTTATTATTATTTTTTATTTTTTTATTTTACCATATTATGGGGGTACAAGTATTCAGGTTACATATATTGCCCATGTCCCCCTCCCCCCTCAAGTCAGAGCTTCAAGACTGTCCATCCCCCAAATGTTGCACCTCTTACTCATTGTGTTTGTATATATCCATCCTCTCCTCCCCCCTCCCACCTGCCCGACACCCGATAAATGTTGTTCCTGTATGTCCACTTAAGTGTTGATCTCTTAATACCAATTTGCTGGTGAGTACATGTAGTGCATGTTTTTCCATTCTTGAGATACTTCACTTGGTAGAATGGGTTCCGGCTCTGTCCAGGAATATACAAGAGGTGCTATATCCCCATTATTTCTTAAAGCTGAGTAGTACTCCATGGTATACATATACCACATTTTATTAATCCACTCATGAATTGATGGGTGCTTGGGTTGTTTCCACACCTTTGCAATTGTGAATTGTGCTGACATAAACATTCGAGTGCAGGTGTCTCTGTGGAAAGCAATATGGAGATACCTCAAAGCGATACAAGTAGATCTACTCTTTGATACAGCAATTCCACTACTAGGCATCTACCCAAAAGATCAAAAGTTGCTTTATGAAAAAGACTATATATATTCTTACGAATATGCAAGTGCATAAAAAAGATTGGAAGGCTGTGAGTT